TAAAAACAATAAAAGAACTTAATTGCATGCTAATAAGTAGAGTGGACATTACCTCACTTTAAAGGGTTTCTTTGTGGTTACAAGTTAATCAGAGCTTCAGCTTAAAACAAGCACTCCATCTGAAGGGGCCTGCTGTGATAATTGGGCCTACAAATTCACTCTTATTGTGAGCCCAGCAGTACAAAGTACATGAAAGTTCATAAAATGTCACAATAACCTATAACTCATGTTAATGGAAAAATATATGTAAGAGACACAGACTATTAGTCTAAACAAAGTCCTGTTGACATATCTTAGGGACTGAGTTGATGCTTAGTAAAAATAGAAGATGTGGACCAGAAATTAATTAACCAAATGTGTATTAGGCCCAACTGGTAAACAAATAATGAGATGAGCTATTCCACCATCACTCCCTTTTGTGGGTCCTTAAAGAGACTTTGAGCAAAAAGATAGAAGAAAAATGACAGAGCCTATAGAAGCAAAATGCCATTTGTTGTGTACTCCCAGGCTTTATGAAAATTGGCTGATGAATATGAATTACTTAAAGATGCTTTAAGTAAAACACTTCATGTAACATTTAAGTCATGATCTGCTGAATGTGCATATTCTAGTTTTGTGTATATATCATTCTTATATGTGAAGTTAGAAATATGAAATGTGGACCTGTTTATACTTTTACATATGCTAATGAGGGCAATTACTGATACTCCAGAAACATAATAACCTGATACTCGAGGTTAAGAATTTATAAATAGTTTTGTTTTACCTAGGGGGTAGCTGAGTTAGTCTGCATCTGCAAAAAAAATGAGGAGTCCTATGGCACCTTATAGACTATTTAAGGAATAAAAAACAGGACTATGTAGCACTTTAAAGACTAACAAGACGGTTTATTAGCTGATGAGCTTTCGTGGGCCAGACCCACTTCCTCAGATCAAATAGTGGAAGAAAATTGTCACAACCATATATACCAAAGGATACAATTTAAAAAAATGAACACATATGAAAAGGACAAATCAAATTTCAGAACAGAAGGGAGATGGGAGGGGGGGAGGTAAATGTCTGTGAGCTAAATGTCTGGAATCCCTGGAAATGGCACACAGCTGCAGGACTTCTGTCCACCCCGCAGGAAGCCGGCACTACCTCCATTTTCGCTGGAGGCAGGTAGTGGGGCTTCTTGAGGTTGGGGGGGCCAAACGCCTCGTGATCGACTGGTCGATCCCTTGCGATCAACCAGTCGATTGTGATCGACCGGTTGGTGACCATGGCTGTAGGGGAACACTTTAGCCTCCCTGGTCATTCAGTAATGGATTTCAAAGTAGCCATTTTTCTACAAAAGACAGAATGACACACAGATACCTTCCTACCAACAGCACAAGAAGAAGAACTCCAAGTGGACTCCTCCTGAGGGCTGAAATGACAGTCTGGACCTCTACATAGAATGCTTCCGCCAACGTGCACAAGTAGAAATTGTGGAAAAACAGCATCGCTTGCCTGGTAACCTCAGTCATGCAGAACGCAATGCCATCCACAGCCTCCGGAACAACTCTGATATTATAATCAAAGAAGCTGACAAAGGAGGTGCTGTTGTCATCATGAACAGGTCTGACTACCTAAAGGAGGCTGGCAGACAACTCTCCAATACCAAATTCTACAGGCCTCTTTCCTCAGACCACACTAAGGAATACACTAAGAAGCTGCACCATCTGCTCAGGACACTCCCTACACAAGCACAGGAACAAATCAACACACCCTTAGAGCCCCGACCAGGGTTGTTCTATCTATTACCCAAGATCCACAAACCTGGAAATCCTGGACGCCCCATCATCTCGGGCATTAGCACTCTCACTGAAGGACCATCTGGCTATGTAGACTCTCTACTCAGACCCTACGCCACCAGCACTCCCAGTTACCTCCGTGACACTACGGATTTCCTGAGAAAACTGCAATGCATTGGTGATCTTCCAGAAAACACCATCCTAGCCACCATGGATGTAGAGGCTCTCTACACAAACATCCCATATGCAGATGGAGTACAAGCTGTCAGGAACAGTATTCCTGATGATGCCACAGTACAACTGGTGGCTGAACTCTGTGAATTTATCCTCACATACAACTATTTCAGATTTGGTGACAATATATATCTCCAGACCAGTGGCACTGCTATGGGCACCCGCATGGCCCCACAATACGCCAACATTTTTATGGCTGACCTGGAACAACGCTTCCTCAGCTCTTGTCCACTTATGCCCCTTCTCTACCTACGCTACATCGATGACATCTTCATCATCTGGACCCTCCCTCAGATCTGTGGTGTGCTGGAACTTGCAGGAGGAGGGGGAGCAGGTGGTCCCCAGAGAAGGTTCACACTGGGGCTTCCCTCCTCTGTGGGAAGGGGAGTTGGCCCCGGAGGAGGCGCACACAGGGGCTGCCCTCCTCTGCT